CCCCGACCTCGGCAGTACTGCAGGATACGGTGTCTTGCACATGGGCACATTACCGGATTTACGCAACACGCTTCCTTCTTTCCTGAGCCAAGATCCTCCACCTGAGTCAGCAGCACTGCCTGCAGGATGTCTTAATGCCAACCCCAGGGCATTTCAACCATACAGCAAGTCATGTTGCTAGGTTTTTGTTTTGCTGACCTAGTACTGTGCATCCAGAGATTTCAGTGAGTTGTCTTGAGAGATCTTGTGTGTATCAGTTGTGAGGCAGAAACGCCAAAGACTACTTCAGACATTTGCACCTTCGCATCATTCCGCCTTCCACCCAGCCCTGCTCTCAGAGGAGGAGAATCGTGATGTCAGGATTGTTCTGGCACTCCAGTCACTCCCTTTGGTTTTTAAATTGCCTTGAAGCCTCCCTGCTGTTTGTGGGGATATAGAGACTTTGGGGTTTTTTTAAATGTTTTCTCATCATTCCATTGTGATACTAAAACAACATGCTTAATGGAAATAAAGTGCTTACTTTGTTGTTTTAAGTAGCTTCTCAATCTTCTTGCCTCCCTCAGAGGCCTGTTTGCTATCAAGCTGCTTTGCTAGAGAGAAATGCATTCACTGTGGGAAGAGGCATTGAAGTGGTTCTTGCCCTCGTCCCTACTTCCGAATAAGAATAGGAAGAAACTCTGAAGACTGCAGTGCAATACAACATAGGATACCTGCATTAAAAATCAGTCTAGAGCTGGATGATGGCCACTGAACAGCAGAACAGTAGTGGGTTCAGTCTCTCAACCTTCGTTCAGAATGGAATACGTTTTCCTGAGGGTTCCTGTAGCACAATGGTCTTCAAGCTGTTCTGTGAAACCTGGGGGTTGTGCAAAGTGCCCCACATTTGCCGGGTAGGGCTTCCGCAGCAGAAGTAATACAAAAGGATTCCACGAGTTTAGAAAGTTTGAAAATGCTGTCATAGAATATTTATACTATGATTGAGACGGGGGCAGTCTCTGCATATCTTCCCCTAGCAGTCCCAAATCTGGTATCAAGTCAGTCTCTGATCTCCATTTTTTTTTTTCTTTCAAGCATGGTGAAAGCACTCAATTCAGGTTAAATGTGTTCAACAGCCATTATCAGTGAGGAAACATTCAGCTTATTGGAAGCTGAATAGTTGTTCTTCAAATATGTAGCTGTATGGATGCCAATATAGGCAGTCAGGCATATAAAATTCTGTTTTTTTTTTAATAGCAGTCTTCATTGTGTTAAGCACATAGAAGAGTACTAACGCACAAGTATAGAGGCCAGAGCAGTGGTTCTCAACCTCTTTAGACTTGGCACCCCTTTGTAACTTGGGAATTGAGTGGTACCCTATTTCAAACACCAATTTATTTATTACAGGGCTTACCTCCTTGCAGAGGGGTGAGACAGTGGGGTTGGGGAAACAGCTAGGCAGAGAGAGCCTAAGCCTGCACATACCTGCTTACCTCCTCACATTTCCTGCAGCACACTTCCAAGCATCATGTAGCAGCCCAGAGTGCCTCAGCTTCCTGCTTGAGACTTCCTGCCCTAAAGGATAGAGCAGCTGCTAAACTTGCTCTGTTCTCTATCGCACATGGCAAGAAGATGGAACCTAGTGAGCCTCTGACCTGCTATTTCTTAGCTTTGGCTAAATGCTTTCATCCTTCATAAGACTTAAAAAAAACTCATCTGAGGCTCTGATTCATGATTCTTGGAAACCAATCTAGATAGAATATTTACAGTTAGACCCCATAATAAAGGCCTTCTCAGTGTGTATAGGGTTTAAATCCCATCTGTCCTGCAGTGAACTCCTTCCATTGAAAGGCAGACAACAGCATATGCCTTTTCTGCTTTAAATTTCCATCTCCATCTCCCAAGCAGAAGCTTAATCCACTGGATCTCCAGAATGTCTAAGTCATGAGATGTACAGTTGAAACTCCATTTCTCAAATCAACCTATGTAGGTCTCCTCAGATCCTGAAGTGATGAACTGTAGGGCCCAGTAACATACAAACCACATTCATTTTCTACACTGTATCAAGCAAGTAACTGGACTAGTTTTGAAGGTGTTGAGAGATTTAATATAGACTGCACAGAGATGCCACTGTGAATAGAGGTAGACATCCTAGGTTTAGCTCCGTCTTCCAGGAAGACTTTCAGATAAAGCCATTAAGTCCCTCATGGCGTTAAGATCAGGTAGATAAAAAAAAAAAAAAAAAATCAGCTTGTAACACACAGTAAGCTTTCTTCAGAATTGGGCGGCTGCAGTCACGTACCCCATGGCATTGACCAAATGCAGAAGAGAAAGAAATCTCTGCTGGTTCCACCTCATTCTGCAGGGCAGCAAACCCCTAAAACCAAGCACTGTATTCCTCAGCACCACCCTTAAAAAAGTTTGATTTCCCCTGTCCATCACTGCACTACGTTCCCAAATGTATGTTCTTACCACCTTCAAGAGACGATTCTGTCTTCTGTGATGTATGGTCAATATCCTGGAAAAAACAGCCAACTCTCCTGACAGGGGCTGAACTGCCCTCGTGGCAAGAATTGCACTCAAGTGACTGCTACCAAATAAGTTAGCAAGAATCCAGTGGCAGGATGATGTGAAACTGTTGTGCCCTACTGTCATCTGCCTTCACAGACTGCTAGCAACTGCTGCATGAAAGAGGAAGATCATACCAGGAAGACCCAGATCAAAGGACAGAAACAATAGCTGTTTTGCCATCAAAAGATCTATCATCAGTAGTTTGTCTTTTGACAAAACTCTAAACCCAGTATCAGATAATTGAGTCAATTCCAAGAATACCTTAAGAGAATTGCTGGGTTTTTGGAAATAAAGACTGTGGTCATATCAAATCTCATGTATTCAGCATTCAAAACACTCATGACCCAGGACACTCAAGCTCTTGGGCTGTGGCTGATAGTAGCCATATTATCAATGATTGCAAAATATGATGAGAAATAATACCATCTCCCTCAACACATACTCAAGCCTTAATGTTTTGACTTGATAGGGTATTGACCTGTATCTTGAAACGCTTCAGTAGAGAGGAACTCTGGGAAATCAGAGGCAGCTAGTGATAGCTAAGACTGCTTTTACAGGCTACAGAAAATGTCTTGACACCATGACTAGTTCAACGGCTCTAGTAGTGATTTTGTGCAGTGTGCCTGCCCCAACTTCAAGAACTGGACACTCCTAGGGAAGACCTAGCATGGAGTTATCTGTGCAAACTGACCGTTCTCTATGCTGTCCAAAACACATGTTTGCATACCAGTGCAAAACCATAAACCATCCTGCTGAAGCAGCAGGCATTCTGTTGCTTCAAGCAATAAGTATACCATAACAGGAGAGACCCAAGCAGCATTGGAGCTAGGTACTCTCCATATTTTTTCCAGTTACAGCTCTCTGCAGCCTTTAACAAGCTGTCTCATGCCATTGTAGATAATAGAGCTAGTAAGAATGGTGATACACTGTTAGCAAAGGCCTACCTGCCAGAAGACTGCATTCCATTCCCTTCAGTCACTGGCCCAAGATCAAACCCAACCACAATAGTGCATGTGTCAGGTTCCTGGATAACACGTGTGCATACAGGCACAGAGCAATGTTTGCCAGATTCAATTTTGACTCGTACAACTATGGTAACTCCTATCCAGGCATCATATGACCACAGCAGAGTTCTCCTCTAGGTCCTGCAAGAACTCTCTTAATGGCTGAGCCTTGAAAATATACAAAATGGGATTCTTTTTTCTGCCTGTTTCCTAATGATGTACCTTGGAAATAGGCCAGGGTATCTACCTGGCGTATCTACAGATGCTGGAAAGATGGTCCTTATGTGATTTGAAGCTGCATGTGAACACCTTGGACAACACATGCTCAGTGCACTTTTTCAACAAGCAGGGGAAAGTCCTAGTTATCCTTGATTTGATAAATACAAGCAAATACCCAGAAGCCCTTCATGAACTGTTGCTGTAGATATCAGGCAGAGATGCAATATTTTGCTATTGGGAATCCTCCCAGGATAGGCTTCTTCACCAAAGAAGAAAAGACCAAGTGTCTTAAACTCTGAATGTAGCATGAGTCTGAGCTGCTTCTATGCCTTCTTATTAGGGTAGTCTTCAAGACTTGGATGCTCTTCTTTTTATTCCCTTCATCCCGTAGGTGATAACCTTGCCTGTTTGACTTTTGGATATGAAGGCATTTGGACTATCTGTCCAGAACGCTTGAATGTGTCCATTTGGCTATCCATACATCTCCTGATCTTCCTTGTGTTGATATCCAAGGACCATACCCATTGCTCAGTTGTATCATAAAGCCTGGATATCAGCTGGCTTGAGCACCACTAAAAAATTGCTAATGGTTATTACTTGAGGTCCAAGAGTTGGTAAGCCTCCAGCCCCTCTTAGCCAGATCTCCTTGCACCTCATTTCATGGGATGAATGTGGTTCTGATCACACCCCAAGTTCATCATGAAGATGGACTCCATTTTATCTTCCTACTTGTTTTTTCTAAAGCCACAACTGATACCAGGAAGAGCTACATTCTATGGATATTTCCAAAGCCTTGCTATATCAGGGCAGGACCAAACCTTTTAGATTGTCAATCTGGCTCATCCAAAGGCCAGAAAAAATTAAAATTTAAATGCACTATAATATGCACCTGTTAATTGCTGAGCCTTCCCCTCCAGATGTACCAGTGTCCAAGATCTGTCAACGCCTCCTGACACCTGTCCAGCATTATGCCCTTGACATGGCAGGTAGGTGTGATGCCAAGTTTAGAAGAGTAGTACTTCATTATTTGAAACATCCAAAGAGGGAAACAAAATTGCTGGTCACATGCAGTGAGATTCA